CTGGAGACTTTTTTAGGATGTTAAAATTGTGTGGCGAATTTATATAATGTATAAAACTAGCTTGGTTATCACTTTTTGATGCACAAATAAAGTGGAGACTTTTCATATATCACGGAGACCATTGGGTGCATAATAAAATTAAAGTAAAAAAAAAATTAAGTGGAGGTTTCATATGGTGCACCAAATTAATGTGGAGACTTTTTGTTAGCTATAATAAATAAGTGGAGAGTTTATGTAATTACAGAAAACCATACGTAGACTTTTTTAGGCTTTTAAAATGGTGTGGAGAATTAATATCAAGCATAAAAAGAATATGTGGACCTTTCTTTGTTTCACAAATAAAGTGGAGACTTTTTGTACGCTATAATAAGAAAGTGGAGACTTTGTGTAATTAAAGGAAATCGTCATTGGACTTGTTGAAGGCTGTTAAAATTGTGTGGAGAATCAATATGACGTATTAAATACCACGTTTTTGATACACAAATAAAGTGGAGACTTTTCTCAGGTCACGCAAATAAAGTTAAAACCCATTTAACTAACTTGGAGACTCATCTTGTATTATAAAACAACTATTAATGAGCTTCCTCCTCCCTAAAATCGAAGTGGAGACTTTTTCTAAAGCATTAAAATGAAGGGGGGCTATTTTAAAAAATAGTGTGGAGACTTTTCAGTTCATCATTTCTAAGATTAAAATAGTTTGGCTACCATTTTTTGCCAGACAAATAAAGTGGAGACTTTTTTAGGTCATACAAATGAACTTGAAACTCATTAAACTAATGTGGCGAGTTTTCTGGAACCATAAAATTACTCTTAATGAGTTTCCTACTATAAACAGTTAGAGTGGAGACTTTTTCTAAATCATTCAAATTAATGGAACCCATTTAAAAAATAGTGTGGAGACTTTTTAGTATAATATTGTAAGATTAAAATAGCTTGGCTATCATTTTTTGCCACACAAATCAAGTGGAGACTTTTCATACGTCATACAAATATAGTAAAAACTCATTAAAATAACGTGGAGACTTTTCATATATCATAAAATAACTATAAATGAGCTAAAATTGGAGTGGAGACTTTTCCCAAATCATTAAAATGAACGGAATCCATTTAAAAAATAGTCTGGAGACTTTTCAGTTTATTATCATAGGATTAAAATAGTTTGGCTACCATTTTTTGCTACACAAATCAAGTGGAGACTTTTCATACGTCATACAAATATAGTGAAAACTCATTAAAATAACGTGGAGAAAAAAAAAATAACTATAAATGAGCTAAAATTGGAGTGGAGACTTTTCCCAAATCATTAAAATGAACGGAATCCATTTAAAAAATAGTCTGGAGACTTTTCAGTTTATTATCATAGGATTAAAATAGTTTGCCTACAATTTTTTGCTACATAAATCAAGTGGAGACTTTTCATACGTCATACAAATATAGTGATAAGTCATTAAACTAACGTGGAAACTTTTCTTATGTCATAAAATTACTATTAATGACCTTAGTACTCCCCAAAATTGTAGTGGAGACTTTTCCCAAATCATTAAAAAGAAAGATAAACTATGAAAAAATGGTCTGGAGACTTTTTAGTTTATTATTATGAGATTAAAATAGCTTGGCTACCATTTTTTTGCTACGCAAAAAAGTGGAGACTTTTTTTAGGTCATGCAAATAAAGTTGAAAACCATTTAACTAACGTGGAGACTCATCTTGTATTATAAAATAAGGATTAATGAGCTTCTTACTCCCTAAAATCGAAGTGGAGACTTTTTCTAAAGTATTATAAAAGATAACATATTAAAAAAATATTATGGAGACTTTTCATACTGACGAGGAGACTAGTCTTATATCAAAAAGTAACTACTTATGAGCTTCCTACTCCCGAAAATTGGAGTGGAGACTTTTTCTAAGGCATTGAAATGAGGGGAACGTATTGAAAAATATAGTGTGGAGACTTTGTAGGTCATGCAAATAAAGTTGAAACTCATTAAACTAACGTGGAGACTTTTCTCATGTCATAAAATTACTATTAATGGCCTTTCTACTCCCTAAAATTGGAGTGGAGACTTTTCTCAAATCAATAAAAATGAAGATAACCTATGCAAAAAAAAATGTCTGGAGACTTTTCAGTTTATTATTATGAGATTAAAATAGGTTGGCTATCATTTGTTGCAAGACAAAGAAAGTGGAGACTTCTTTAGGTCTTATAAATAAAGTAAAAACTCATTTAATTAATGTGTAAACTCATTTTGTATTATAAAATAACAATTAATGAGCTTCCTACTCCCTAAAATCGAAGTGGAGACTTTTTCTAAAGCATTATAATAGGGAACCTTTAAAAAAAATAGTATGAAGACTTTTTATACTAATGTGGAGACTTGTCTTACATCATAAAATAACTTTTCATGAGCTTCCTACTCCCGAAAATTGGAGTGGAGACTTTTTCTAAGGCATTGAAATGAGGGGAACGTATTGAAAAATATAGTGTGGAGACTTTGTAGGTCATGCAAATAAAGCTGAAACTAATTAAAATTAACGTGGAGACTTTTTGAGAACAATAAAATAACAAATAAATAACAAATAAATAAATGACATTTCTGCCTAAAATTGGAGTGGAGACTTTTCTTATTGATTTGGGAAAGTCTCCAATCAAATTTAAGGAAGATAACCTATTTAAAAATCAGTCTGGAGACTCCTTAATTTACTATTATAAGATTGAAATACCATTTTTTGAAAACAAATAAAGTGGAGACTTTTCTTAGGTCATACAAAAAAATGGAGACTCATTGAGTGGAGACTTTTATTTCAAATCAGTAAAAAGGAAGGAAACATATTAAAATGTATGATTTAAAGATTCCAAGTTGAAATCCCTTTAAAAAAGAATATGGAGACTTTTATCACAGTTCATAAATTTATCAACAAAATCAAGTGGCCATTTTGGAGACTTTGTGGCCATCTTCATTTATTCATTTTTCAACGTGTATATCTCATAAAATCACAGTATAAAACATTTTTCAAGCCCCACTAAAAATATGGTGGAGACTTTTTACTACGCTCTTCCATTTTACCTCCCTCCTTTCGAACCCTAGATTTAAAGTACATGGGTGGATTTAGCTCCAACATTGTTCGAAACCTTATAAAGAAAGAGTCTTCCTTTCAAAGAAGATCTCTGAATTGTCTCCGCATTTTCCCATCCCCCCGCCTCGACTCAAACAAAGGACTTCAATAAAATCCAAAAAAAAAATATCCACCTTTCCAATGTTAAGTGGAGACAAAGCCGTGTTCACAAAAGGCTTGCATGTTTTATTTTTAAAACTTTTAAAACTGGATTCGTTGTTGTTCCGCTAATTTCGATTTAGTTTGTTTATTGTCGTTGGTGTTGTTGTTGTTGTTTTATATTACTTAATAAAACGTTTCAAGAACAGCAACAAACTTCGATGACCACTTTTGTGTTAAGTTGTTTGTTTTGTTAAAATTCCTGTTGTTGTTCAATTGTTGTTTTTTGCAACAACAACAATGAACCAGAAAAATATGTTCAACACAAAATCCATTTAAATTCAGCTGATGATGATGACACGCCGAAGAGGTTAATCACAATTTGTTTTGTTGTTGTTGTGGTTTATTATCGATAATTTATTTGCAAAGCTGTTCACTTTTTGGTGTTGTTGCTGTTGTTGTTTTTGTGTTTTGAAATAATTTAAAATAATTACCCAGGTTTGATGTCTCAATTATAGAGGAAATTAGGTTATCTAAGATTGAATCTTAATTTTGTTCTTTTTGGTTGTTCGAATGTTCTGAGTCATTCGGCAGCAGGGGCAAGGACTTTCGGAGCAAAATTCGTGATTTTTTTGAAATAATTTAAAAAAAAATAAATATTTTTTTAAATAATTTTTTAAAAATATTTTTTCAAATAACTTTTTTAATTTTTTTTTTCGAATACCAACGTGGATTTTTATTAAAAAATATTTTTCAAAATAATTTTTTAAAAAACAGGTGCAAGGACTTTGTCATTCGGCAGAAGGGGCAAGGACTTTTGGTGCAATATTCGTTATTTTTTTTAAATATGTATTTTTTTTTTAAAAAATTTAAATATTTTTTCAAATAGCTTTTTTAATTTTTTTTTCTAAGACCGTGGATTTTTTTTAAAAAGTATTTTTTAAAATAATTTAAAAAAAAAAAAGAAACAGGGGCAAGGACTTTCGGTGCAATATTCGTGATTTTTTTAAATATACATTTTTTTAAGTAAATATTTTTTTAAATAATTTTTTAAAAATATTTTTTTTTCGAAGACCAAAGTGGATTTTTTCAAAAAGTATTTTTCAAAATAATTTTTTTGAAAAACAGGTGCAAGGACTTTCGCTGCAATATTCGTGATTTTTTTTAATATATATTTTTTTAAATAATTTTTTATATAATTTTTTAAAAATATTTTTTCAAATAATTTTTTAAAAATAGATTTTCAAAGACCTACGTGGATTTTTTGAAGTATTTTTCAAAATAATTCTTTAAAAAATAATTATTTTTTCAAATAATTTTTTTAAAATATTTTTTTCAAAAAAGTATTTTTCAAAATAATTTTTAAAAAAACAGGTGCAAGGACTGTCGGTGCAATATTCGTGATTTTATTAATATATATTTTTTTAAATAAATTTTTGAAAAAATAAATATTTTTATAAATAATTTTTTGAAAATATTTTTTCAAATAATTTTTTAAAAAAATTTTTTCGAAGAACAACGTAGATTTTTTAAGAAGTATTTTTCAAAATAATTTTTTTAAACATAAATTTTGAAAAAAAATTTAAATATTTTTTCAAATAATTTTTTAAAAATATTTCTTTCAAAGACTAACTTCGACTTTTTTTTAAATATTTTTCAAATCAATTTTTTAAAAAATATTTTTTTTAAAGACAATCCTGAATTTTTTAAACACTTGTAATTTTTCCAAATATTTTAATTTCCCGCCGAATCTAATCTCTCTTTTTTCATTTGTTCTCCCATTTCAGCTAAATGGAGGCATCTGATGGATCGCCCCCACCATCACTGTGTATGGTACGAGCCGCTGAACTATTTCCCAAACCACAAATGGAGAAAGAAGATACCGAATTGAAGGTCCCATTTCAGGAGCGTAAGTTTGCATTTCCAAACCCAGGAAACTCTGATTAACCTCCCTTCATTTCTCTTTTTTTCCAGTTGCTGGCGAGTCTGTTAAATATTTGGGACGCACCGACGATGGCATTTTGGCCCTGTCCAATTATCGCCTGTATTTACAGAAAACCTCAACAAATGTTGAGACATCCGTTCCCCTGGGTCTCATAGAATCGGCCCAAAGTCGTGATCTGTTCCATTTGATTGTGTATTGTAAAGATGCCAGCACGGTCAAGTGTTCTTTTGAGACTGCCGAACAGTGTACAGAATGGCAAAGACGCATACAGATGTCGGTTGGTGTGCCCGAGACATTGGAATCTATATTCGCTTTTCCATTCTGTTCATGGGCATGTGACAGCTTAAATGGTGGAGGTGGTGGTGGTGTTGGAGCAGCAGGTGTGGCCGGGGGAGGTGGTGGCGGGGTAGCAGGCGGAGGAGGCAGTCAAACATTTAATTCAAACACCGAAAATCCTGGCTACAATCCCTATTTGGCCCTGGACTACAATGAGAGATTACAGAAATGCAGTTACCGCTACGAAGATGATTTTATGCGGGAAGTTGAACGTTTGGGTTTTGATTTGAATGGTCCCTGGCGCATATCTCGAGCTAATGAAGATTTCAAGCTGTGTCCCTCATATCCACCCAAACTCTTGGTACCCTGTTGCATTTCCGATGAAACGCTGAATAATGTGGCGAATTTTAGAGGTTCCCGACGTTTGCCGGCTGTTGTGTGGCGTCATCGTAAATCGGGAGCGGTTATTGCCAGATGCAGTCAACCGGAAGTGGGTTGGCTGGGTTGGCGCAATACCAAAGATGAACAGCTGTTGAAGGCCCTGGCCGATGCCTGTGCTTTTGATAGGGGTGAACAGATGCGTCAATTTGCCAACAATTCTCAGTCAGCACAAAGTATACAGATACCCTCGGGTGATAGTTCACCATCCAGTCCGGATGGCAGCCACGAAGAGGTGGCCCTGGATGAAGTGAGGGTAGGTTGTGAAAAAAGATAATCTATTTTTAGGAATCTAATTTCATAGACATGTCTCTTTTTAGAAAATTCTCATTGTCGATGCCCGCAGCTATACATCGGCCGTGACAAATCGTGCCCGTGGCGGAGGCTGCGAATGCATTGAGTATTATCCTTGTGCTGAAATTGAATTCATGAATTTGGGCAATATACATGTCATACGCAAGAGTTTCCATGCCCTGCGGCAGCTGTGTGCATCGCCACCGGATGTTCCCAAGTAAGAAAAAGAGAGATTATTGTGTCAAAATTGGATTTATTCACTTTTCTTTGAATTTTTAGCTGGTTGGGTCTCCTGGAGAAGACCATGTGGTTGCAACATTTATCCGGTTTATTGGCTGCTTCCATGACCGTCTGTCATGCCATTGAGAAAAAGGGTCGGCCTGTACTCGTACACTGTTCCGATGGCTGGGATCGTACCCCACAAATTGTGGCCACAGCCCAGCTGTGTCTGGACCCCTACTATAGGACAATAGAGGTAAGATAAGTGGGAATAGTGGTTTTATATCATAAGCCATATGGCTACATTTGATACGGCCAAAACGTGCCTCATCGAAATAATGAATTTAGACCCTAGGTCTCTTTGGACAAAATCAGTTTCAGGGCATTTGGAGTCGATGGCGATGTCCATTTGCCCGTCTGTCTGTCTATCTCGCTGGTGCGCACGCTAAGTCCCGAAGGGAGTATCCGATTTGATTCAAACTTGGTATATCATAACATTATTGTCAAACTTAGATCGAGTTCGGAGATGGGCAATATCGGTCCACTCTTTCTGGTACCTCCCCCACAAAAGGTGAAAATTTTCAAAAAATCTATTTTCTGCACAGAAAGGGAAACGACCCCAATCCCACGGCAGCGGGTTCTACGATACCGGATTGACCCGAAACAACAAGATTCCAGTTTCGGCCAGCGGCTGCCAACCCAGTATGTACATGTTTGTGTTTGTTTATTTTTCTGCATTGGGAGCAGCATATCCCGGAATGCCTGCTCCGGATTTTATTGGTCCGTGCCGGGATTGAGGAAAACCCCGGACCTTGGTTCTGCTCGGTTTGTCAGAACGTCATCCACCACAGATCTGTCTCGGTGCGATGTAATGGATGCACAGAGTGGGTGCACTTCAAGAACTGTTCCGGATTAAGGCGTTTGCGAGACTACAGCGAAAGGGATTATGTTGCGACTTGCTGCAGTAACGTAGTCCCCAGCGAGTCCTCTTCTTCGTCGTCCTCGTCAGAGACGTCGTCGGAGTATGGCACTCCACCGCAGTCTCCAGAACAGCAACCAACACCGCAGCACCTAACGCCACATGTTGCTGTTCCAACTCCGGATTGTGCATCATTCTTGCAATTCAATTGCAACGGACTTCGAGGCAAAATAGATGAGATAGTGGAATTTATGAGTCGGAGGAATATTAAGATCGCAGCGGTGCAGGAAACCAAGCTGAATGAAAATTGCAGCCTACAACGTTGTTATGGTTACAACGTACTAAGGAAGGATCGCACCAGAAGTGGAGGTGGGGGATTAGCGTTCCTGTTACACCATTCTGTTCAGTACAGACCTATCTCGCTTGAGCTAGTCTCTAGTGACCCATACATGGAATGTATGGGGGTAGCAGTCAAGTGTGGAACTGCCGAGGTAGAGGTGCTTAATGTGTATATCCCGCCGATTAATAGCTGTGAACCGCGTTATTTGCCTGATATTAGCCCATTATTGGTAGGCAATAACCGCCTGGTACTAGGGGATTTTAATGCCCACCATGAGTTGTGGCATTCCGTCCTAGGTAATGACCAGAGGGGATCAGCGCTGGCAGAGCAGATTGACTGCTCCACATTCTGCACGGTTAACGAGGATGCCCCCACCCGAATAAGAGGAGAGTGTCACAGTTCGCCAGATTTAACCATAGTGTCACCCGGTCTGATAAATGACGTGACTTGGCAACCCGTCATTTCTCTTGGCTCAGACCATCTCCCGATAATCGTCTCCATAAGCAGGTCGCCCGATTTCATAACCTCTGAACGCCGCACTTTCCTTAACCATGGGAAAGCTCACTGGCCAGAGTTCAGAGAATTCACCAACCGCCGCTTCAGAGAACTGCCCAACCCTTCTGATGTTCGGGTAGCAGAAAGGATTTTCCGAAACATCATCAGAGCTGCAGCCGCTCGCTATATACCTGCTGGTCGAATACCCGAGATAAGACCAAACTTCCCAGCAGAGGCAGCGGGATTAGCAAACGAGCGTGATGATCTCCGTCGTACCAACCCTACTGATCCTAGAATCAGTGATTTGACAGTGGAAGTCAACCGGTTGGTACAGGAGCATAAGAGGAAAAAGTGGCTAGACCATCTGAAGTGCTGCAACATTGGAACCGATATGAGTAAGCTGTGGGTAACGGTTAAGTCGCTCTCGAACCCTGGAAAAAAGGATGATAGGACCTCAGTCACTTTTAACGACGTAACGGTGACTGATCCGAAGAGGTGCGCGGAATATTTTAACCGACAATTTGTCGAGCACCCCGAGAGTGATAGGGCGAAGCGAAGAGTACTACGTCGTATCAGATCTCTTCCCGCCGAGGAGGAACCACCACAGTTTACGATGGGTGATGTTGCAAATGTCATCCGTAACGCTAAGTCATCCAAAGCGTTGGGCCCGGACGGAATCTCAATGGTAATGTTGAAGCAGCTGGATACGCCGGGAGTCGAGTACTTAACAAAAGTTCTCAATTTGTCGCTAGCCACCCACATAGTGCCCGAAACCTGGAAAATGGGCCGGGTGGTCCCGCTACTGAAGCCAGGCAAGGATGCCAGTAAAGGCGAATCGTACAGGCCGATTTCGCTTTTGTCGCCAGTAGCAAAGACTCTTGAGGCTTTACTCCTCCCCAGCATTAGAGGAAGCTATGCAGTTGCCAACCACCAGCATGGATTCCGTCCACAACATAGTACCACAACAGCATTACACGCCATTTCCACACATATTAGTAGAGGACTAAACCAGAACAGGCCGTGTGACAGAACAGTGTTGGTAGCCCTTGACCTATCAAAGGCATTTGATACGGTCAATCATGCCACACTGTTTGAGGACGTACAGAGAACTACCCTCCGGCCAAGTTTGAAACGTTGGATAATCAACTATATGTGTGGACGCCAGTCGTACGTGGAATTCCGGAACAAGAAGTCCAAAGCACGTAGAGTGAAACAGGGAGTTCCCCAAGGCGGGGTGATATCTCCGGAACTGTTTAACCTCTACCTTTCCGGAATTCCTCGCCCTCCAGACGGCATTGAGATCGTAACGTATGCGGATGATTGTACGATCATGGCGTCGGGTCCAGTGGTCGATGACATATGCGAAAGGTTGAACCCCTATTTACCACATGGTCTGCGGAGATGAGAACACAGCTGAATGTTCAGGTCGAGGGGAATTTAATACCGACCACGAACTACCCCAAGATTCTTGGGGTAACGTTCGACAGCATGTTCAAGTCGTCCGCGCAAGCCACAGCTATCTGCGATAAGATGAAAAGTAGGAACAAGGTCCTCAAGGCGCTAGCCGGCAGCTCTTGGGGTGCGGACAAAGAAACCTTGTTGACCTCTTATAACGCGATAGGTCGGTCTGTGGTCAACTATGCGGCTCCAGTGTGGTCTGCGAATACTAGTGCTACGCAGTGGAAGAATATCCAGACCTGCCAGAACGCTGCCCTGAGAACTGCGACAGGGTGCCTCCTCATGACACCAGTGGACCATCTACATGAGGAGGCGAAAGTCCTTCCCTTACGTCAGCATAATCATATGCTTTCGTTGCAGTACCTGCTTGGGTGTTACCGTGAGAGCCATCCCAACCATCATATGGTGGATAACTCTCCCCCACCCAGGCGTGTCAGGAAGGACATACATGATCTAGAGAGGGAGGTCCAGCGCTACAAGAGAGAGCCTCTAGATCAAGAAGCCTATCAGGCAGGTCTGAGTGGCATTCACACCGATGCAGTCGCGGATGCTATTAGCAGTTATAAAGTGAATGCCGTCCTCGGAGTCCACCCCCCATCCATTGCAGCCGAAGAACGTCAGCTGCCTAGACAAACCAGGGTAGTTTTGGCGCAATTACGTTCAGGATGGTGTAGTCGCCTCAATTCGTATTGGGCACGAATTGATGAAGATGTGCGTGACGCCTGCCCGGCGTGTGATACAGGCCCGCACAATACGCTACACCTTTTTAATTGCTCAGCCAAACCTACCCAACTCACTCCAGAGGATCTCTGGCTACAGCCCGTTAAAGTAGCCGAATTTCTAAACCTGGAGCTGGAACCAGATTAGCAGAACACAAACACACACATGTACTACTGCTACAACAACAACAACAACCATCCGATTTTGCTCCAACTTTGCAAATCCTAATATTTCCGTCAGTACTATGTCAGGTGCGAACATGGACAATATCAGTCCACTCCATCCAGTACTTCCCCCACAAAGGGCCAAATTTTTAAAAATCATAACTCTTATAAAATAGGATGTAATTTGCCGATGGTCTTCAAAATATACAAATCTCAATATTTTTATTAAACCAAGGTCTGGTGTGAATATGGAATATATCGGTTCACTCCTTCTGGTACCTCCTCCACAAAAGGTCAAAATTTCGAATATTCGTGAAGCTCATAAAACACGAAATTAACGTCCGATTCCATTCAGACTTGGCACATCTCAATATTTCTATCAGCACAACATATGTTATAAAGATGGTAGAGATCGGACCATTCCTTCTGGTACCTCCCCCACAAAGGATCAACGTTTTGAACAACAAAATCGATCATAAAAACCGAAATAAGCATCCGGTTCTCTTCAAATTACACACATCCCATTATTTCTACTAATACGAGATGTGCTGTGAAGATGGGAAGTATCGATCCACTCCTTCTGGTACCTCCCCCACAAAGGGATCAAAATTTTGAATATCCATGAAGCTCATAAAACACGAAATTAACATCTGATTCCATTCAGACTTGGCTCATCTCAATATTTCCATCAACACACGATCTGTTATAAAGATGGTAGAGATCGGACCATTCCTTCTGGTACCTCCCCCACAAAGGTTCAAAGTTCTGTATAACCAAAACGATCATAGAACCCAAAATAAGCATCCGGTTCTCCTCAAATTACACACACATCACAATATTTTTATTAACCCAAGGTCCGGTGTGAAGATGGGATATATCGGTCCACTCCTTCTGGTACCTCCCCCACAAAGGGTCAAAATTTTTGAATATTCATGAAGCTCATAAAACGCGGAATTAACATCCATTCAGACTTGACACATCTGAATATTTCCCTCCATACACGATCTGTTATTAATATGGTAGAGATCGGATCATTCCTTCTGGTACTTCCCCCACAATGGTTTAAAGTTTTGAATAACCAAAACGATCCGAATCCCCACAAAGGGTCAAAACCAAATCTGGCACGTTGTAATATTTATATCAGTCTTAGGTCAGATACGAATTGGAAAATATTGGGCAACTGCCTCGGAACCTTCCCCATAAAGGGGTAAACAGTTTGAATAATCATAACTCAAGGCTGGGTGTTTACATCTGTCGGCAAAACCGCCTGATACTCTTTTACTTTTTATTTCCGAAAAACTCATTGAAATATTTTTTCTTCCCCTCTCCAGGGTTTTCGTGTGCTGGTCGAACGTGAATGGCTTAGCTATGGCCATAAATTTGCCGATCGCTGTGGCCATGGTCCCGGTTCGGAGGAACTGAATGAACGTTGTCCAGTATTTCTGCAATGGCTGGATTTGGTACATCAAATCCATAAACAGTTTAGTTGCAGTTTTGAATTTAGCATGGGCTACTTGGTGAGTGCCAAAAGGGCTTCCTAGCATTTTTTGCTCTAATTCCATATTTCTCTCATATTTGCAGATCAAATTAGCCCAACACTCACATTCTGGTCTATTCGGCAACTTTTTGTGCAATACTTTAAAGGAACGTTTGGAGAATTCCGTTTTTGAGCGTACCTTTAGTGTTTGGTCGCTGCTGTCCAGTCCCATCTATCGCAATCCTTTGTATAAGCCACAACGTGAAAAAGTCTTATGGCCGGCACATAATGTACGTGATTTGTCACTGTGGACCGAGGTGTATTTGGGCAGTCTGGTGGGTGGTAATCAAAATTCCATTGATTTTCCGAATTATATCAACGATACACTAATGGGTTCCATGAGTAAGTGAAGGAATTGAAGGATACCTTTAAAATAGTCAAATAAATATTTCTTATTTTTTTGAAGGTTCCATGTCCAAAACCAGATCTTATGGGGATCTAATAACGGCTGGTTTCATTCAAAACAGCATGTCAAGGCGTTCAAGTGATCCCAACATGACAGTGGATCCGAAGTAAGTAAACATAGCCTCTCTTTATTAGTGACTAAAGTTAATATTAAACTGCCTTGTTTTTGTTTCCCCCGCTTCTAGTCTCACCATCGGTTCGAATTCGGAAAACAATTCCATTGCCGATCTACAGTCGGACGAACGTGAAGAATCACCAGATATTTTGGCAAATTTAATACACGACACAACCCGTAAATTGGAGAATTTAACGAATGAGCTAAACAATCATGACAATGATGATTTCAAATTGGCATCGAAACATGCAAATGAATTGGAACACCTAGACAATGACGACCACGAAGAAGAAAGTAAAAAGCCTAAAAATGCAATGACAATTACTGAGTCAAGTAATGGCATCGTGCATTCAAGTGAACAACAACAACAAAATACTGGCTGTGATAATGAGACTACCAGAACAACAACAACACCAAATACACAAGGTCCATCAACGCCCACATCAAAGAAAACGAAAATTGTGGCCAAGGATGCCAGTCGGGATGGCAACGATGTTACAGACTCGTCACTGACAAACGGTGTAAATGGCATTCAACGAAGTTCCAATGGCATTACCATTGAAAAACATACCACCATGGGTCTGGATCTAATGATGAGAAGTGTGGCCATGGATGATGGTAAGTGGAAAAAAATTGGGATATTTTTTTTCCTTTTTCCTTTATTCATTTTTTTCCTAATCATCCCAAATTCACTTTTCTATTTTCTCCCTCTTTTCTAGACGCCTCATGCAACCACAGTTTGGAAACATCTTGCAATGGTTCGATGGCCGGTGATGACAAGACAAGCAGTAAAACAACAACAGATGAGTCCCATAATTTATGGCATGGTTCCATTAATACCAGTACTGACACCCTGGTACCCTTGGCGGAAACGAAAATACAAAATGGCAATTGTGATACAATCGATGGTGGTGGGGCCGGTAAACGAGATGCAATTTCTCCCAAAAAGCTCAATGTTGATAGCACAAATAATGGCGAAGAGAAGACAACAAAGAGTAGCAGCACAACATGTAAAATTTTGCCAAAAGTTCATAGCAGCAGCAACATTAACAGCATAACATCTCGACCAAATCAACTGTCCACCAGCAGCCTCAACACCACCACCACCAATGGCAATAATAATCTACACAATGCAACAACAACAACCACAGATGACATTACCACAACGAGTAAAGGCGGTGACAATAAACCCTCAAGTCGCTTGACCTCTGACATTGCTGCTGCCGCTGCCTCCGCCTCTAGTGGCATGATGGAAGAAAGCATACTCATATTACCTGAACATAGGAAATTAGAAATTTCCATTAGTGGCAAATGTGAAACAGTGGCCTCTAATACAACTACCTCGTCGGGTTCCAATAGCATTATTACATCCACAAATCAGCAAATGCCAATGGCTGCTCCACCACCACCACCGCCCGCAGCAGGGTGTCCATCATCTTCTTCTGCATTGCCCACGCCGACCTCAGCCTCAACAATGTCCGCTTACAATCTACCTTATGCTATTAATAATAGTAGTAGCGTTCCAAATAATACTGCAATACCTACTAATACAACCACAGCTGCCTCTAGCCAAAGAAGAAGACGTACCTCGTCCTCAAATTCGGGTTTTATTGCCAAACAAGCCAATGGAAGGTAGGGTCAAAGGCTTACATTTTTGTTTTACTCAAATTTAAAATTTGTTTTATTCTTTCCCCAGTTATATTTCACGCTTCTCATTGCCTGGCGGCGGTGTACGTTCTTTGCCTATGACACCACCTGGTTTGACTGAACGACAACAAGTTACTATTTCCTGCCCCGATGGTTTAGCACATGCTTTAAGTGAAGAAAATATAAGACTACAGCAAATTGTACATGAACATAAGGTAAGTCCATGGAAGGAAAGGAAATTGAAATGAGGAAATTATATGGGCCGGAAAAAAAGAAAGGAAAGAGAAACAGATTGAAAACTCGAGGGATTGATGACTGCTTTCAAAAACGATGTTGAAACATCTGAAAGAAATATAAATGAGTCAAGCAAGACTATTGCAAGAAATTTAATATAAAAATTTTTGAGATAAATATTATATTTTGGGACATATTTTGTTCGGTGACTTATAATGAAATTTGATATAGAACATATTCTCCTTGGAACTCATGACCCTTACATGAAGTATTGTGGGACAGTTCGTTTGAATTCATAAATCTTCGCAATTAATGCTGAAAAAATACAAAAATATAAACTTCATTAAACATCCAATTTGTTATATATATTTTAGCAGGATAATTTATATCTACCGATTTATTTTTGTCCAGGGCCTTTAGGGAAATTTAATGTAGAATATTTTTGCCTTTAAGTACATCATTATTAAATGAAGAACAAAGGAGCAATTTGGCCCAATTAATAAGCATTTCTAAATAACCCAAAAAATATATGTTTTGTATACACAGTTGTTTACAAATATAGAATTTATCGAGATATATTAAATCTAGAGATATCTTGTTGTTTGTGACTCATAGTGAAATTTGATAAGGAATATATTTGCCATTAGTGTCTTTCTTTTAAACTTTAGAATATCAGGAGAATTTGGTTAAATTCAAAGACCTTCAAAGCTAACCTCAAAAATCAATATTTTTACGCGCAATTGTTTATTAATTTTTTAAGTGGATGTATTAAATCTACAAACTTTTTGTTGTTGGTGACTTATAGTGGAATTTTATGGAGAATAATTTTGTCTTTAGGATCATCCTTCAAAAATGAAGTGTAGCAGGGCATTTTGGTCCAATTGAAAATTAACATAAAAATCCATAATTGTATATCAATTTTTTTTGGCATTTTATCGAGTCATATAATATTCTCAGATTTCTTTTTGTTGACCACTTCTAGTGAAATTTAATAGGAAATATTTCTGTCTTTACTGGCATCGTTCTAAAATAAAGTCGATCGGAATAATTTGATCCAATTGGCATATGTTCGAAATTAACCTAAAAAATCAATATTTTTACGTGCAATTGTTTAACAATTTTTTAAGGAGATGTATAACATCTACAAACTTTTTGTTGTTGGTGACTTATAGTGTAATTTTATGGAGAATAATTTTGTCTTTAGGATCATCCTTCAAAAATGAAGTGTAGCAGGGCATTTTGGTCTAATTCGAAATTAAACTTAAAAAATCAATAATTTTATACCCAATTATTTGTTGGCATTTTATCGAGTTATATTATATCCTCAGATTTCTTGTTGTTGGCGACTTATAGTGAAATTTAATAGGGAATATGTCTGCCTTACGGTCGTCGTCCTAAAATAAAGTCGGTCGGGACAATTTGGTGCAATTTGTATATGTTCGAAATAAACCGCAAAAATCAATATTTTTATGCGCAATTGTTTATTAATTTTTTGAGGAGATGTATAACATCTAAAAACTTTTTATTGTTGGTGACTTATAGTGGAATTTTATGGAGAATAATTTTGCCTCTAGAATCATTCTTCTAAAACGAAGTATAACAGGGCATTTTGGTCTAATTCGAAATTAACCTTAAAAAAGCCAACAATTTTATACCCAATTATTTGTTGGCATTTTATCGATTTTTATCAGATTTCTTGTTTTTGGCGAATTATATTGAAATGAAATAGGGAATATTTCTGCCTTTACGGCCATCGTCCTAAAATAAAGTTGATCGGTACAATTTGGTCCAATTTGTATACGTTCGAAATTAACCTAAAAAATCAATATTTTTATACGCAATTGTTTATTAATGTTTTATCGAGATATATAACATCTACGGATTTTTTGTTGTTGGCAACATATTGCGGAATTTTATGGAGAATAATTTTACCTTTAGGATCATTCCTAAAAAATGAAGAGTAACGGGGCATTTTGGTCCAATTCCCAAAAATGTTATATGCAATTGTTTATTGATATTTCATCGATATATATTTCATTTACAAAATTATAGTTGTTGGCGACTTATAGTGAAATTTAATAGGAAACATTTCTGCCTTTAGGGCCATCCTCCTAAATTTAAGTCGGTCAGGACAATTTGGACCAATTTGTATATGTTCGAAATTAACCAAAAAAGTCAATATTTTTATACACAATATTTTATTAATTTTTTGAGGAGATGTATAACATCTACAAACTTTTTATTGTAGGCGACTTGTAGTAGAATTTTATGGAGAATAATTTTGCCTTTAAGGTCATCCTTCAAAAATGAAGTGTAGCAGGGTATTTTGGTTCAATTCGTATACGTTCAAAATTAACCTTAAAAACCCAAAAATGTTATACCCAATTCTTTATTGGTATTTCATCGAGATATATTGCATCTACAGATTTCTTTTTGTTGACCACTTGTAGTGAAATTTAATAGGGAATATTTCTGCCTTTAGGGCCATCCTTCTAAAATAAAGTCGGTCAGGACAATTTGGACCAATTTGTATATGTTCGAAATTAACCAAAAAAGTCAATATTTTTATGCGCAATATTTTATTAATATTTTGAGGAGATGTATAACATCTACAAACTTTTTGTTGTTGGCGACTTGTAGTGGAATTTTATGGAGAATAATTTTTTCTTTAGGACCATCCCCAAAAAATGAAGAGTAACAGGGCATTTTGGTCCAATTCGAAATTAACCTAAAACACCAAAAATGTAATTCCAATTGTTTATTGATATTTCATTGACATATATGACATCTACAGATTTCTATTTGTTGACGGCTTATAGTGAAATTTAATAGGGAACATTTCTGTCTTTACGGCCATCCTCCTAAAATAAAGTTGGTCCGGATAATTCGGTTCAATATTCTATACGTTCGACATTTATCAAAAAAAAAAAAAAAACAATATTTTTATGCGCAATTGTTTATTAATATTTTATCGTGATATATTATATTGTTGGTGGTGACTTATATTAAAATTTTATGGAGAACACCTTCGCCTTTAGGTTCATCCTCCTAAAATGAAGTAGAACCGGACAATTTGATATATTTTGCATACGTTCGAAATTAACTTGAATTTAACATTTTTATACCCAATTGTTTATTATTATTTTATCGAGATATATTGTATATACAGATTTCTTGTTGTTGGTGACTCATTGTGGAATCTTACGGAAAATGTTTTTCTCATTATGACCATTCCACTAAAATAAAGAATAAAGGGACAAATAGACTGAAATTTGTTGACCTTCGAAATTATCCAATTAAAAAAATAAAAAATTTACTTGTATTTGTTTTTAACTTTTTATCCTGCTATATTAAGCCTAGAAATTTCTTGTGATTGGAGAGTCTTGATGAAATTTGATGGTGAATATCTTTTCCATTAGGAGAATTCACGTAAAATGAAGTATAACGCGACAAATTGGCCTCTAATCGTAGACGTTCGAATCTAACATAAAAATTGGATTTGTTCATATTTATTACATACACCGAATTTTGGTGGTTGGTGACTTATAGCAGAATTTGATGTTGACAATTTCTTTCACTTGGACTATTCCCCTAAATTGAGCTGAACCAATTCCTTAACCTTTTAATAATTTTGTATGAATGATGATAATTATTGTTTTTCTTTCTTTTTATTTCCAGATGCGCGAAGATGTTTTACTACGCGAACTGCACGATATGCGCATGGCATTGCTAAAGAAAATATGTCCAAATTGCAATAATGCAAATGCATCGGCCAACACTGATGAACAGGTGAATATCACATAACTTAAGCAAAGCGTTAACAATTAAGAAACCCCCCACACACTAAGAAAAATGCTTAGACGAAATCAAAGAAAAAACAATTTAGGTAAAACTATTTAATTCTAATCTCTACAAAAATATTCAATATTCCCCCCATAGAAAGAAAACCCCATAAAAAAAACAAATAGAAGAAAAGACGATTTGTAGATAACTAAAAACTGATTGGTTGTTAAATTTCTGTTGCTCTTCCCCATGTTTTATAAACATTTTTTTAATTAGCCTATGTTACTAAATGTGATTTATGTTATTTTTTTTTAAATAATTTCTTTTTGTACATTTTTTGTTTGTTACCAAATGAAAAAAAAAAACTTGCCAAAATTTTATTTTTTTGTACATAAGTTAGGTAAAAGTAATGTCTATTATGTTTAAGATCAAGTGCTATGAACATGAATATAATGATTGTTGTAATAATAACCACAAAACAACATCATCAACAACAGAAAATCCATTTTGATAATACAACAAATCTACCACCACATAGAAGACGATTTTGTGTTCCAACCATGCCAATGTATCAAGCAAATCGGCAGTTTTTCAAGCGTTATCGTCGTAGACGACGTCGTCATCAAAGGATGTTTTGTCACAGTCGAATCCCCACCACTGCCACCATAATTATTGAACACATTGACAATTGTAGAGAAGATAATGATGATGATAATGACGACGACGATTTGGATTATGAGTTGGAAGAAGAAGAAGATGTCTATGATGATGATTATAGTGATAGTTGTAATGGTGATAATGAAGATGCTGAGATTTATTCAGTATCAGGGGTTAGTTTTTTTTAATTTTGTTTTTTTTTAATTTTTGTTTTGTTTGGGTTTTTAATTTAAAACTTTTTTGGCCCACACTGCTTTTTGCTCTCAATGTGTTTTTTCTCTTGTCCTTTGCTGAGCATGGAGCTTTGATGTTATAGATGTCTTTTTTTTTTTTTTGTGTTGCTTGAATTGCTGGCATGCAATAAGCTGGATTTTTTTTTTTTTTGAGAACACCTCTTAACAAAAAAAATATATCAAAAAGATATTAGGTGGTTAAAAAGCCACAGAGAAAGGTGTAATTGTTATCTATGGACTCCGTTTATTCAGCGAATTGTAGAGAAATTTGATAAAGAACATTTTAAGGAAGTCGGCATTTCCATTAAAAAAAAAATATATATATACCAATTTGTTACTGATATTTATTTCGTAAATATTATATATACAGATTTTTTGTTGTTGACGACCCATAGTGGAATTTGATGTAGAATATTTTTTGCATTGGAGGCATTCTTCTAAAATGATGTGCCCATTGCATCTGGTTGGCCCAAATCGTTGACCTTGAAAATCAAACAAAAAATTGCATACCCAACAAACAAAATTTTGTATACCAAAATGTTTACCTACATTTTCTTGGAAAATATTAGATATACCGATTTCTTGTTGTTAGCGACTCATAGTTAAATTTGGTGAAGAATATTTTCACCATTGGTGGCATTCCTCTAAAATGAAGTTCAATGTCTGAAATTTGGCTCAATTCGTAGAACTTCAAAATTAACCTAACATTTTTTGTTATTGAAATTGTTACCGATATTTTCTTGGTATACATTATATATTCAGATTTCTTGCTGTTGGCGACTCTTAGTTAAATTTGATGTAGAATATTTTTTTCCTTTGGAGACGCCCCTCTAAAGTGACGTTTAGCGGGAATATTTGGCCAAATTCGTAGATCTTGAATGTTAATCTAAAATTTGTCATACCTTAATTTTTGCTTATATTTTTTTGGTATATCTATTATATATACAGATTTCTTGCTGTTGACGACTCTTAGTTAAATTTGATGTGGAATATTTTTTCCTTTGAAGACGCCCCTCTAAAATGACGTTTAGCGTGGATATTTGGCCCAATTCGTAGATCTTCCAATTTAACCTCAACTTTGTTATACCCAATTTCTTGCTGATATTTTCTTGGTATACATTATATATGCAGAATTCTTGCTGTTGGCGACTCTTAGTTAAATTTGATGTAGAATATTTTCTCCATTGGAGATGCCCCTCTAAAATGACGATTAGCGGAGATATTTGGCCTAATTTGTAGATCTTCCAAGTTAACCTAAAATTTGTTATAACAAAATTTTTGCTAACATTTTCTTGGTATATATATTATATATACAGATTTCTTGTTGTTGGCGACTCATAGTTAAATTTGATGTAGAATATTTTCTCCATTGGAGGTATTCCTTTAAAATGAAGTTTAATGGGTAATATTTGTTCGAATTCGTAGTACTTCAAAGTTAACCTAAATTTTTTATATCCAAATTTTTGCTGATATTTTCTTGGTATATATATTATATATATATCGATTTCTTGTTGTTGGCGACTCATAGTTAAATATGATGTAGAATATTTTCTCCTTTGGAGACGTCCTTCTAAAGTGACGTTTAGCGGAGATATTTGGCCTAATTCGTAGATCTTTGAAGTTAACTTAAAATTTGTTATAACAAAATTTTTGGTAACATTTTCTTGGAATATATATTATATATAGATTTCTTGTTGTTGGCGACTCATAACTAAATGTGATGTAGAATATTTTCTCCATTGATGACATTCCTCTAAAATGAAGTACAATGGGGTATTTGGCCCAAATCAAGGGACTTCACAATTAACCTAAAATTTTTCACAACCAAAGTTTTGCTGATATTTTCTTGGTATATATGTATATTATATATGGCGAATAATTGTTGTTGGCGAATCATCGTTAAATTGGGTGCGGAATATTTTTTTCATTGGAGGTATTTCTCTGAAATTAAGTTTAATGGGAATATTTGGCCCAATTCGCGGGTCTTCAAAATTAACGTAAAAATTTTTTGATGTTTTGTTGAGCGATATTTTGTTGTTGGTGGGTCCTCCTCCTACTCCTCCCCTACGAGAATATGTCTTAAGGCAACTCTTGTATAAAATTACCCATTTTAAACTCTCAAAACTATTCAAAAAGTTCCAAAAATTATTTCCATTAACCCTCGTAGAACTTGGGAGATCATTTGTGACTCTCATCATCATTAGGAAAGAGAAACTTTCCACTTTTTCTTCTTTATCAACCTATCTTTTTCCTAAAATGTCGATTTTTTCCACATTAAACAGTTCTTGTAAAGAAATTGAAAAAATGTGAGGTTAGGTTTGACGTTATGTTTGATGCGCTTTTTTTTGATTTCACTTACCAAAAGCTTTTTATAAAAGATAACGCTTTGAAACAAAAGAAAATTGAAATATAACAGCATGAAATCGTCTTTTTTGTAAAATGAATTGAATTTAATTTTTTTGTATAACACTCTCAATGTTTGTCTCTCTAACGAATCTCTTTATATTTTCTCCCCCCCAATTTCCTTTTGTATCTTTCTTTTCCGCTCATGGATGATGATGATGGCATGATAAATTTATGGATTTGAAAAAAAAAAACAACATAGTGTTCAGCACTGGATAATGTAGAAAATGCTTCGATCTGCTCATGGGAGGCCGTTGAAGATCGCAGTGCCAGTGGTCCCTCGTCCTGTGCCACAACCAGTTCCTCAATGCAACCAAATGCCACAAGTGTATTATGGGTACCCGATCATGCTGTTTCACGTTGCACCAGCTGTCAAACGGAATTTTGGCTGGGCCGAAGGAAACATCATTGCCGGTGCGCATTGTAAAAAAAATATGTTTTGACTTTATATCGCTCTCTCTCTTTCTATCTATCGTTGTTTAGCTTTTTGTTTGTTTGTTACTTCTTTCTGTATCATATTAGTGTTTTAGTGTCATTTCTTTTATTTGTTGTTTTTTTATTTCTTTCTTTAGTTTTGTTCTTTTTATGAAATTGTAACTAACATTTGTTTGTCTTTAATTTAAGAAAAAAAAATATTTTTTTCTGTAAAATATTTAGGATCTGTTTCTGTAAAACGTCACAAAATGTAAAAACACATTTGGAAACGTGTTGTCATACCGGAAAAATCCCCTAAATTCGGATTGCACATCATGTTTAGAGTCGTATGTAACGTGACTTATTCCACATTTTTCTAAAGCATACTTTAAGGCGCTCCCTTATTTCACAAACAAGAAATGAATGCTTTACAGATTAATATAATTATTATACAACATATGAATACAGTATAAGCATATTTTATAGTTGCTAAAATATAGCAACTTTTTATACCTTACACCACATACTGTAACATTTAGAAGGAAGCGATGTAGACCCATAGTTACTTTTGAAGATCTTCATAGAATCACTTTCTGAGTCGTTTTATGCATGCCAGTCCGTCTGTCCGTCCCTCTCTCCATGTATTCTTGTGAACAAAATGCAGGTCGCATTTTTTATCCGATTGAGATGAAAATTTCCAAACAACATTTGTTTGGCCCAAGGACGAATAGCTCCCATATATATCTTCAACCGATTTCGGGTTAATTGTGCACCAAATGACCAATATAAGTCCAAACGAACTGAATTTTGGTACATCCTACCGAATTCAGTCTAGAAGCAAGTACATCAAATTTGGAGAAAATCGGTTTATATATAGCTATAGCTCCCATATATATGTTTTATCCGATTTGGGGTTTTAAGTCCCTCACAAGCGTAATATACACTCCACAAGAATGATATTTGGTACTGGACATCAGATACTGTTCGAAAATACCTCTGTCAAATTTTATCAAGATCGGTTCAGATTTGGACATAGCTCCCATACATATCTTCAACCGATTTCGGGTTAATTATGCACCAAATGGCCAATATCAATCCAAATGATCTTAATTTTGGTACATCCGACCGAATTCAGTCCAGAAGCAAGAACATCTAATTTGGAGAAAATCGGTTCAGATATAGCAATAGCTCCCATATATAAATTTCATCCGATTTGTTGTTTAAGTCCCTCACATTCGTAATATGTATTCGACAACAATGATATTTAGTATCAGATATCAGATACAGCCCAGAAATACCTCCGCCAAATTTTATCAAGATCGGTTCAGATTTGGTTATAGCTTCCATATATCCTTAATCCGATTTCAGGTTTATTGTGCAAATAATGGCTAATATCAGTCCAAATGGCCTGAATTTTCGCACATCCGACCGAATTCAGTCTAGAAGCAAATACATCAAAAAAATCGGTTCAGATATAGCTATAGCTCCCATATATATGTTTCATCCGATTTGGGGTTTTAAGTCCCTCACATGCGTAATATGCATTCGACAACTACAACAAAATATTTGGTACCAGATATCTTATGGACCTCGGAAATACCTCTGCCAAATTTTATCAAGATCGGTTCAGATATGGACATAGCACCCATATATATCGTTAATCCGATTTCTGGTTTATTGTGGAAATAATAGATAATATCAGCCCAAATGAGCTGAATTTTGGCACATCCGACCGAATTCAGTCTAGAAAAAGGTACATAAACCTTGGTGCAAATCAAAAATAGCTATAGCTCCCATATATATGTTTCATCCGATTTGGTATATAAGTCCCTCACATTCGTAATATGCATTCGACAACAATGATATTTGGTACCAGATATCTTATAGAGCTCGGAAGTACCTCTGCCAAATTTTATCGAGAACGACCAAGATTTGGATATAGCTCCCATATATATATATCCTTAATATCAACCCAAATGCCAAATAAAAATTGTGAAAAATCACTTTACTTATGACTCTTAACATGAAGTGAACTCTGGCCTTTCGTCTCTTTGGCAACTGGCATTTTGTTGACCCCCCCCCTATGTTTCCTAACACCAATTTTCCCTTTCATTGTTAATAACCACATTCACATTGAGTTCTTCGTTGTTAATTAATCAATTAACTTTAACTTGTAATAAAACCTACTATTACTGTACTCTACACTAGATTTAGTATCATGTTTAATATATACCAAAATCACACATATACATACATACATACAACATATGCAATTACATACAATAAAGCACTCATATATATATTTTTTTAATTTATTAAACTATGCTTTGTTCCAGAACTTGGAAGAATCGAAATCGATTTCTCCTTTATGATATCGAAAGAAAATCCAAAGCTAGTAGATTCTTGCAGGTTCTGGAGCAGGGCATGTTTTAGGCCAAAAATAATGGTTTGTAAAAATTATTCATTGATTTGAAATCTTGTACACGCACACACTTTCTTATGTAGAGCTACGGTCACATTTTGCCAAAATAAATTTATATAGACTTGAAATTCTAACTTTTTTAAAGTTACAAATCGAAATTATGAAGAACCTCACAGAAGGCTCGGTCGGTTTGCCGACGTATCAAAATACTTCCAAAACAAGTTAAATAGTATCATTCGGTTATGCCGACAGATGTATACCCCCAGCCTTGAGTTATGATTATGCTACCTATTGATTCCCTATGTGAAAGGTTCCGAAGCAATTGGTCCAATTGCTATCTGACCTAAGACTGATATAAATATTACAACGTGTCATATTTGGACTATATCGCCTACTTCCTATACTTTATATGAGATATGTGCAAATTTTTCGAAAATGGGGAAATAGGTGTTATTATGTACCAGATATAGCGGACCGAAATATTCCACTTTATCTAGTACAGATAAAAATATTGGTACGTGCTTCACAACAGATCGTAAGCAAAAACATTTAAATATGTGAAAATTTTTAAAATTTTTTAAAAAACACTTTTTCAAAATACATCGAAGTGTGGATTTTTTTTAAATAAATTTTTAGAATCTATCGGACTGTGGGTTTTTATTTTTTAACCCTATTGAAACGCGAATTTTTTAAAATTAAAAAAATTTTAAAAATATCTCTTTAAAATCTATCACATATGTGGATTTAAATTTTTTTTTCAAAATCCATCGAAACGCGGATTTTTAAAAAAATATTTCTTCAAAATCCATCGAAACGTGGACTTTTAAGAAAATATTTTTTCAAAATTCATCAAACCGACAGAGACTTTTTTTCAAAATCCATTAAAAAGTGGATTTTTTAATGTATTTTTTCAAAATCCATCGAAAAGGGGATTTTTTAAAAAAATATTTTTTCAAAATGCATCGAAATATTGATTTCTTAAAAAATAATCAAAATCCATGTTTAAAAAAATCATCGAAATTAATTTTTTTTTCAAAACGTGGAATAATTATATAATAAATATGATATATTTTTTTCAAAATCCATTGAAACGTAGATTTAAAAAAAGACATTTTTTCACAATCCGTCGAAACGTGGATTTAAAAAAAAAAACATTTTTTTCTAAATCAAAATTCATCCAAAAAATTTGAAAAATATTTTTTCAAAGTACATCAAAATATGGATTTCTTAAAAAATATTCAAAATTCATCGCAACCTGGATTTTTTAAAAATATTTTTCAAAACGTGGAATATTTATGTAATAAATATTAAATAATTTTTTTCAAAATCCATCTAAATGTGGGTTTTAAAAAAAGACATTTTTCCAAAATTCATCGAAACATGGATATTTTAAAGATATATTTTCAAAAACTTGAAAAATATTTTTTTTTTTTAAATTTGCTGCATTTGATGCAATAAACGAAAACCTGGATTTTTTAAAAATATTTTTCAAAACGTGGAATATTTATATAATTTATATTAAATATTTTTTTTTTTTTTAAATCCATCGAAATTTTCCACATCCATCGAAAATTGCATTTTTTAAATAATTTTTTTCAAAACGTGGATTTTTTAAAATATATTTTTCAAAATTCATCAAATCATAGATTTTTATGAAAATGTTTTTTGTCAAAATCCATAGAAACGTGGATTTTAAAGAAGATATATTTTTTCAAACGTAGAGTTTTAAAATATATTTTTTCAAACGTGGAATTTTAAAATATGTTTTTCAAAACTTTGATTTTTAAAATATAATTTTTCAAAATCTTTGCATTTTTTTAAAAATATGTTTTCAAAACTTGGATTTTTTTTTAAATATTTTTTCAAAACGTGGATTTTTAAAATATATTTTTTCAAACGTGGAGTTTTAAAATATATTTTTTCAAAACGTTGATTTTTAAAACATAATTTTTCATAATCCATACATTTTTTTAAAAATATTTTTTTCAAATCGTGGATTTTTTTTAATAATATTTTTTCAAAACTCGGATTATTTTAATAATATTTTTTCAAAACGTGGATTTTTTTTAATATTTTTTCAAAACTCGGATTATTTTAATAATATTTTTTCAAAACGTGGATTTTTTTAATAATATTTTTTCAAAACGTGGATTTTTAAAATATATTTTTTTAAACTACATCAAAAAATATTTTTTTAAATATTTTTCCAAATCCATCGAAACTGGAATTTTTAAGTAAACATTTTTTTTTCAAAATTCATCGAAACGAGGATTTTTAAGAAAATATTTGCTCAAAATCCATAGAAACCTGTATTTTTAAGAAAATATATTTTTCAAAATTCATCGATAATCGGAATTTGCATTTTTTGTGTATTATTTAATTTTTTTTTTTTTTTTAAATATAGTTTTTCAAAATCCGTCGAATAGTGGATTTTTAAAAAATATTTTTTTCAAAATCCATTTTCCGCGGATTTTTTAAAAAATATTACAAATTTTGATTTTTTTTAAATATTTTTCAAAATTCATCGAAACATGGATTTTTATTTTTTTTTTTCATTTTATTTATTTATTTTATTTATTTATTTTTTTTTTTTTGATTTTGGATTGTATTTTTGTTTTTCTTTTTAATATTTCTTCTGTATGGCCATTGCATATCCATTCAAAATAACTTCACTTTTCACATTTTCCATACCTCTGCATTGCATGCAGAACACACACATTATTTGTTTTTGTCTATTATTTCACTCTTGAACCTTTGTTTAATTGCAATTCTTATTTTTCTCTCTTTTTTTTTTCTGCCAGATCTTGCGGGCAAATTTTCTGTGCTGATTGTTCCGAATACTGGGCACCGCTGCCAGATGCCAAGCTGTTTAGTCCGGTGCGATTGTGTGGACCCTGCCATGCAACCACAACGCGCACCATGCAACAGGTTAGCAGTGAAATGATGCCGTCGTCGACGCCGCCCGCAGTGGCTGCAGCCGCAGCCGCCGCCACTGTAGCAGTCAGCAATAACAGTACCAACATGCATTTGCAGCAGAACGCCACAAAAACAGCAGCAGCATCAAAGGCTTGAATTAGATAAAAGAAAATAACAACAAATCCCCAATTCAGAAGAGTAAGGAGAAGAAGAATATTAAAGGAAAACCAAATAAATTGAGGATTGAAACGAAAAACGGAATTTAAAAAAAATGTATGCGCGATCTTAGATGAAAAATTAATACAGGAGTTGATGAGGGCAAGCCCACTAATGGACGGACAAGATTGAAAATCACAACACATTATTATCATTAAAATGCAAAAGAGAAAATCTAAACTAAACTAAAGAAAAGAAAAATATATATAATTATTATTATAAATATTAACATGGCATAAAACAATATTCCCCCCAAAACCAAGAAAAAACTATCCCCTTTCCAACCCATAAAAGTACGTTTTGGATGTACGAAATCCACTCGATCTGAAATGTCAATTTCATAGAGCACATGTCAAATAATAGCCACTGGATTTATGACTACGATTTACGTGACGTATAGACTATGGAATTGATATTTGGAATTAGTAGCTGGGAGTTAGTAGTCTAAACGTGTTCTAAGACCCCAGCCTCTAAAGCCAGCCCCCCTTTTAACTAATATTATCCCCTCTCTATTCTAAATATCCCTTTATCCACTCCTCTATTTCTCCCTCTCTCTCAAAAAAAATAACCAAAACATTGTTACTTAGTAAAAAAAAAAAACAACAACTAAAATTCAAACACAATTATTGAAATTTGAAATTGAATTTCTTTGAAAACTGAGAAAACCGAAACTGAACTGATGTAGACAAAAAAAAAACAAAAATTATTATTTAAAACAAAAAACTAAAATAAAATGTCATTTTATTAAAGAAACTAAACAAAAAAAAAAAACAATTGTATAAAGAACAAGCATATATATTTAATTAATTTAAAACAAAAACAAAGAAAAAACTGTTATGTTTAAACTTTAAAAAAAATGAAAAAAAAAAACAGTTATTTAAAATAAAAGCAAATACACAAAATAGCAAATAAAAATTCAAACAAAAAAATGCATTCTCAGCAAATGGAAGCAAGCATAACGCCCATTATATAATTATTATTACTATATTTTAAAAACAAAAAACAATTATTATTGTAACGGTGTCGATTTGAAATTTAAGTACTCTTATTTTGTTGTAATTCTTCTATCTTTCTTTCTTTCTTTTTTTAATTTAATTCTGTGATAAAAATTTTATCGATGTTGAAACAAAACAAAATTTGGATCTATTTTTTTCGTTTGGTTTGGAAAATTTATTTTTTTTTTTTGGTAATAAAGGAAAAAAATGGGGAAAAATTTTGGAAATTTAAAAATTTTGTTAAAAATTCAAACAATCGTAGATTTTCAAAAACTAATTTCTTAAAGAATTTTTTTCAAAGGTCCCCAAAAATCGAGATTTTTTTGGTGAATATTTTTATTTTGGTTTTTTCGGAAAAGAGAAAAATGGAAAAAATATTTTGGAAATTTAAAAATTTTGTTTAAAATTTGAAAAAAAAAAATAGTAGATTTTCAAAAAAGAATTTCTTAAATAATTTTTTTTCAAAGGTCCCCAAAAATTGAGATTTTTTTGTGAATATTTTTAAAAATTTCCTGCAAAATTTTTCTAAGATGTTAAAATTTTTTTTCCATGTAAGAATATTATTGTTTATATGGGCTGACAATCAGATGAATATTTTTAGAAAATATTTGGGTTTCTTTATTTATTTTTTTTTTCAAGAATAATTAAGAGATTCCCCATTGGATTAACCTGACTTTTTTCAGAACGAAACTGACAGCTTTGCTATAGTTGATCTCCTCCGGTCTAAGGGAATGGTCACTTGGTTTTTTGATATAATATTTTACCAGGAGGGTATATACAGGGTTAGATAAAAAAACTGCAACAAAGTCAAAAGCCATAATTTTTACATTTTTTTCAAATTTTATTGAATGAAAGCAAAAAATGTCGGAAACAGCCTCAAATTTGAGAATTACTTTAGATTTGTTCGAATTGGTCACCTTTGGCACAAATTGGGGCCTTCAAACGCTGCCCGAATGTTGCTCTACGGTATTTTGGCCCATTCCCGGCGAAGCGCTTGCTTGAGGTGATCGACACTTTGGTATTTTTAGTGTCAACCTTGCTTTCCAAAATACTCGAGACACAATCTTTCAACGGATTGGTATCCGGAGATTTTGTGGTGACCATTGTGCGCTGAAAATGAAGCGAGGATCCTCATTTTGTAACCATTCTTGGGTGGCGCGTGCTAAGTGCGAGGGTGCTGAGTCCTGTTGAGGTCTGCGGCCAAAATGTTTGGCTTTAATACATCCTCCAGAATATTTTCGTGATAATATCCGGCATTTATTTTCATGCCACGGTCGATTAATACGAGGAGAGCGACCATCGGTTGTTATGGCGGCCCACACCATCACCATGGCCGGCGCTTGAGTTCCGGTGGTCAACGGAAGGTGCACATTTTCAGCTGACCTCCTTGGCAAGTAAACACGATCATTTTGTTTGTTTACAAACGGTTGGATAACGAATGTTTTCTCTGATCGCAGAAAACCAAATTCGGCAGTTCACCACTTTCGGCCAAGCGAAGCAACTCTTTAGCTCTTTTGAGTCTATTTTTCCCCCATCCCATTTTGTCCAGTATCTAAAGATCTGCTGTGAAGATAGGATGTATCGGCGTACTCCTTACGGTACCTACCCTACATAGGGTCAGAATTTTGAATATCCATGAAGCTCATAAAACACGAAATTAACATCCAATTCCATTCAGACCCGGCACATCTCAATGTTTCTATCAGCACAAGATATGTTATAAAGATGGTAGAGATTGGACCATTTCTTCTGGTACCTCCCTCAAAAAGGGTAGCGATACCTCCCGATATTCGGTATTTTAATGATTTTAGCGATATTTTTTAAAAGAATTGTTTCAAAAGTTTGTATTTAATGATCGTAGTAGGCACAAGTCTATGGCAAAAAATCGTGTATGCAGGTTCAGGTTTTTGTATAGCCCCCATATATCCATACCTCCCGATATTCGGTGTTTATTTGCGATTTGATTTTAGCGGTGTTTGACCATTTTTATTAACCGGAATCGTTTCAAATTTCATAATTGAAGTTCGTAATGGGTACTACAGTCTATGGCAAGAAGTCGTATGTGCAGGTTTAAGTTTTCGTATAGCCCCTATACAACCATACCTCCCGATATTCGGTATTTTGAAGATTTTAGCGACATTTTTTACCAAAACTGTTTCAAATTTCGTAGTTGAAGTTCGTAATGGATACTGCAGCCTATAACAAAAAATCACTTATGCAGGTTTAAGTTGTCGTATAGCCCCCATACAACGATATCATCCGATATTCGGTATTTTGATTATTTTAGCAGTATTATTCACCAGAATTCTTTCAAAATTTCGTAATTGAAGTTCGTAATGGGTACTACATCCTATGGCAAAAAATCGAGTATAAAGGTTTCAGTTTTCGTATAGCTCCCATATAACCATACCTCCCGATATTCGGTATTTTTTGTAATTGAAGTTCGTAATGGGTACTGCAGCCTATAACAAAAAATCACTTATGCAGGTTTAAGTTTTCGTATAGCCCCCATCTAACCATACCTCCCAATATTCGGTATTTTAATGGCTTTAGCGGTATTATTCACCAGAATCGTTTGAAATTTTGTAATTGAAGTTCGTAATGGGTACTACAGCCTAGGCCAAAAAATTACTTATGAAGGAACACGTCGTCGTATAGACCCCCATATAAAGGGGTTTCATTTGAGATGTATTTTTCGATGGAATTTTTTTGAAATTTTTAGGTTACCAGGAGTAGGAAATTTGACGAAAAGACCTCCGTAGTGAAAATTTACATTCCACTTCCATTTCCATCCATAAATAAAGAAAATCTTCAAACAGTTTACATGGAAAATTTCAGTGTTTGTTGTTGGTGTTGTTTTTTTTTATTTAAATATTTGTTTGTTTGTTTAATTTATTGTGTTTTTGTTTTTCTTCACTTATGTTCCCCTATAGGTGGTATATCCAAACGGTGATAGCAGCAATGGCACATGATAATGTTGGCCTCGTTCACATCTTATCACAATCTCAACGAAGGGATAAAAACTCGACACCTTACAGCTGTCGAAATAGTTTTGGACATGAAATTTTAATTTGTAAATGCCCTGTTCAAAATCTTTAAAATCCAATAACTGGCCAACACGACCATCTGAGTTGGTAGAATGTTGAGACAATTCCTGCCACTGGCCGTCGTTCAATTGACGATAGAGAGTTAGGGGTAAATTGGCCACAGCTTTGCCCAGCGCTGTGTCTAGGACGTGACAGGATATGGTGCGATTGTTGTTCATTGTGTCAGCTTTGAGATTCTTGAGAATTGCAAAAAAAAGAAATCGAAAGTTAGTTTGGTTTTGCATTACAGACATGCATGCATTTACTTACCTCACCAGTCTCCACCCGTAAACGAATGCGTTCCCAGCCGCTGCTCATTTTGAAATGTCGCCTTTGGAAATTGTAATCTCTTTTTTTGAGGTTTATGTGTTTTCTTTTGTTATCTTCTTAACTAAGTGTGTTTAACTTTAGACATATTTTATTTAAAATGTACAGGGGATTGTGTTTTATATCATATTTTTCATTTATTATAACATTTAGCACAGTTGGGGTGAGAAAAATAGCAGGGAAATAAAATTAAATGTTTTCGAAGAAAATTGCTTGGAATTTTTGGCATGGAGAAGGAAGCGTGATAGACTCATGGTTAATTTGGAGGATCTTCATAGAATCACTTTCTGAGTCGATTAATGCATGTCAAACCGTCTGCCCGTCCTTCCATCTGTCCATGTATTCTTGTGAACAAAATTCAGGTCGCATTTATTATCCGTTGGAGATGAAATTTTCCAAAAAATATTTGTTTGGCCTAAGGACGAACCCTATTGATATTGGTGAGAATTGGTTCAAATTTAGATATAGCTCCCATATATATTTTCCTCCGATTTCGGGTTAATTGTGCATTAAATGGCCAATATCCATCCAAATGACTTGAATTTTGACACATCCGTCCGAATTCAGTCTAGAACTGAGGATATCAAATTTGGTGAAAATCGGTTCAGATATAGCTATAGCTACCATATATATGTTTCATCCGATTTGGTGTTTAGGTCCCTCACATTCGTAATATGAACCCCACAAGAATGATATTTGGTACCACATATCTTATACAGCCCAGAAATACCTCTACCAAATTTTATCAAGATCGATTCAGATTTGGATATAGCTCCCATATATATGTTCAACCGATTTCGGTTTAATTGTGCACCAAATGGCCAATATCAGTCCAAATGACCTGCATTTTGGCACATCCTACCGAATTAAGTCTAGAAGTGAGGACATCAAATTTGGTGAAAATCGATTCAGATATAGCTATAGCTCCCACATATATGTTTCATCCGATTTGGTGTTTAGGTCCCTCACATTCGTAATATGAACCCCACAAGAATGATATTTGGTACCAGATATCAGATACAGCCCAGAAATACCTCTGTCAAATTTTATCAAGATCGGTTTGGATTTGGACATAGCTCCCATACATATCTTCAACCGATTTTGGGGTATATTGTGCACCAAATGGCCAATATCAGTCCAAATGATCTGCATTTTGGCACATCCGTCCGAATTCAGTCTAGAAGCAAGTACATCAAATTTGGAGAAAATCGGTTCAGATATAACTATAGCTCCCACATATATGTTTCATCCGATTTGGTGTTTAAGTCCCTCATATTCGTGATATGCACCGCACAATAATGATATTTGGTACCAGATATCAGATACAGACCAGAAATATCTCTGTCAAATTTTGTCAAAATTGATTCAGATATAGCTATAGCTCCCATATATATCTTCACCCGATTTTGGGGTTAATTGTGCACCAAATGGCCAATATCTTTTCAAATGACCTGAATTTTGGCACATCTGATCAAATTAAGTCTAGAAGTGAGAACATTAAATTTGGAGGAAATAGGTTCAGATATAGCTATAGCTCCCATATATATGTTTCATCCGATTTGGTGTTTAAGTCCCTCATATTCGTGATATGCATTCGACAACAGTGATATTTGGTAGCAGATATCTTATGGAGCTCGGAAAGACCTTTGCCAAATTTTACCCAGAGCGGCTAAGGTTTGGATATAGCTCTCATATCTATCCTTAATCCGATTTCAGGATTATTGTGCAAATAATGACTAATATCAGCCCAAATGAAGTGAATTTCGGGATTCCATTTTGTGGAAATGGGCTCCGATATATATATTTTTAATATAATCCTTCTTGAAATGATATGTTATTTGGCATAGAAGATACAAATGTCTCATCAAATTTAGTGAAAATCGATTCAGAATTGGATATGCCTCTCATATATTAGTTTCCTCTAAAACCAAAATAGATGCTCTTAAGCCAAATGTTAATAGGTGGCGGTATGATCTACATCAAATAAAATCTTTTGTCATGGGAGCTCTACTAAATATGCATAGAAATGTAGGGTATATAGTCGGCCCCGCCCGACTTTTGACTTTTCCTTACTGTTTTTTTTTTTGTTATGTCAAAATTTTTTGGCACTGAGTGCTAACTATCTGTCCCCAAAAAATGTTCCAAGCTACCAAAACCACACGTTGAAAAAACATGTGCTAAATTTTTGCTCCATAGTATATTATTCATAAATTCTGGAGAAAAATGCATAACTGACATCCACATCTTATCTAGGGCTGTGAGATTTAACACGAAATCTCGAAAAAAAAATGATTGCTCATATACACGAATATACCATGGAAGAAACATGCTAAGAAGAAATACAATTGATAAAGATAACAAGAAGATAACGTCTTTGTAAGCCGATAAACAGATCTCAGCCATAAATGACGACAGCAGCTGAACGTTTCTTAAAAAAGAGTAATAAAACAATTTTATCTACGGTCTCAATGCCTTTCAACACATTAAAAAGCATCAAAATCTTTTTTAAAACAGCGACATCTGTTGGTGAATAGTAATAGTATGACATGCAAACAAACTCAGACATAGACATCTGCATATCAATTTATTTGTTGTCAGTGTTTGTTATGGTGTTACTATTCCCCACTAGAGGGCACTAAGCAGAAAACACAACGTAATCTATTAATACCATGTTCACATCTTTAGATCATTTGCAGCCTTAACAGGCGTTTACACATTCGGCAGTATTTTTTTAAAGACTGATAATGTTGATATTGCATATAAAAATTACAAAAAAATAGAAACATTAAATAACTGAGAAACATTTTGAAAAATTTAAATTTGTTTAAAACTAAAAAATGATAGCAATTTAAAAATCGATTTATTAAAGAATATTCTTTTAAAGGCATAATAAATTGAGACTTAAAAAATGTTTTTTTCAGAAGCCAACGGAAAGTGGATTTTCAAAGAGACATTTTCTCAATTGCCTTTAACATCTGGATTTTGTTGAAGAACTTATTTTAAACGACCAATAAAACGAGGGTACTTTAAAAATTTGTTTTCGAAGGTCTTAAGCTGGGAATACATAAAGCGCTTATTTGGCTGGCTTAAGTCATCGGCTAGCTTCTTCGGAAATGAACAAAGGAGCCTAGGCCCAAAATCGAACTAAGTCAA